CTCCCCCCCCACCCCCGCAGGCCGTGCTCCGCGCCCTCTGGGCCCCAGGGCAGAGCCCCAAGGGGCTCCATGGAGGGCCGGTCGCCCTGGTCTCCGCCTGGGTGAAGCTGGCAGCAGCAGCTGCTGAGGGTCAGGAGCCGGTCTGAGAAGGGGGCACCGTGGGGTCCTGGGGGAGCCAGCGCCCGCCCGGGGCACCAAGGGCCGGGGAGGAAGCCTTGCCCCGCCCCACCCACGTGTTTTTAAAGGGATGTTTATTGTCATGAAAGGGTGATGCGCAGAGGGAGTGCCTTTCTTGTTGGACCCCAGTTCCTCCCGTCCCCCCCAGTCCCCCCCCCAAGTGGGACCATTGATTTTCCACCTAGTGTCTACTGAGTACCGCTGCTGCCTCTTCTTTCTGTTCCTAATTTCCCATCTACTTTGCCATTAAACTTTTTGCTTTCAGATCCAGATTCGGTAATGATCGTGTGCCCTTACCCATGCGCCCCACTGAGCATCTTTCAGAGCTGTAACCCAGTCATCTGAGGTCATGTCCAGGGCCTCATCCAAGGTCACGTCAGGGTGCTGACAGCAGTGGGCAGATCCCCGCCTTGGGGGCCCTTTCGGGATACCTGGCACGGCAGCCCAGCTCAGAACCACTGTGTGACCACAGCCACACAGTGTGGGCTCCAGCCATGCTCCGCATGCAGGCCAGGTTCCCTGGCAGGGCTGAGTTTGTTTTCAGTCTCATCAGGTCCCCCGTGGGCAGTGAGTTCTTGGGCTCACCCTGGTGGACAGAAGTCCAGCCACACAAACTATAGCTGCTCCCTCCTGACACCTGTGCCCAGCCTCAGCCTGTCTCCCTGGAGGCCCAGCTCCCCCAGCTTCTGTCCTCACAGTGACTTCAAGCTTAGTGCTCTCACAGACAGGAAAATCAAGGTACACGGCTCGGCACAAATTCATCTGATCTGATCTCACCCAAAGCAGTTCCTGCAAGGCCTCGCCCCTCACTCTGAATCACCTCTGTGGTTAGGGCCAGTGGGCAGGGGAGACAGAGTCGGGAACAGGGGTTAGCATCAAGGTTTGCTGGCAGGTCCTGTGTCCTACCAGATAGACAAGGAAGTGGGCAAATAGGGCGGCGCACCTGTGAGTCTCAGGCTGGCAAGGGGCAGCGTGCTTGGTGGAGGCAGGGTGGAGGAAGGGAGGTGGTCTGGAGGCGGACAGGGAAGAGGGGAGCACCTCAGGACAAGGGATCTCCTGGGCAGAGACCTGATGGGGAGCATGGATCTGAAGTCCTGCAGTGGAGCTGGGAAGGGGCCCAGGCCAGGGTCAAGCTTGTGCAGGGTATGGGGTGAAGGGTTAGTGCAGGTGCATAGTCAGGATGGGGTATCACATAGAGGGGCACAGTGTGCGCAGGGTTGAAGTTGGTTGGGTGGGGGTACTCCCTGCAGAATTGCTGGGACGTGTAGCTGAGGAAAGAGGAACTTGCCAGGAACTCTTTGGCCAGGTCCCAGGACTCTCTAGGCCTCTGTCTGTCTGGAGGGTCCCTTGGGGTGGGGTGGGGGGGACCTGTTTTTAGACAGTGGACATTCTTTGCGTGCTGGATCCTACTGTCCTGCACAAGTTCCTCTGCTTTGACCTCAAAGTATGGGCAGAACCTTTTCCTCACCTGTAGAAGGAGAAAGGAAACTTTTTCTACCTTGGGGTTCTTGCTGACAGTGGCAGAGAGATGAAGTATCACTCTGTGAGCATTTCCTCGAGTGGATGAGGCCCGAAGACCAAGGTGAGGGCCAGGCCAGAGGCAGCCAGGGCCCTCCTCTTCTGCCCTGATCTCCAGGTCTGCCTCTGGGCTCCAGCTGCATGTGGGACATGCTGATCCCCAGGCCAGAGAGAGAGGGCATGCCTGGGAGGAGGGAGGCATTGTCTCCAGAGTCCAGAATGCCTCAGCCCAAGTGGTCAGTACCGCAAGAAGCCTATGAGGCTTCAAGGGCTGGAAGCTGGATTTCCTTCCGGAAGAGGCTTCCCTTGGGTATGAAGGATCGAGGAGACGGTTGCACAAAACCCCAACTTGTATACCGCAGGGCAAATTCTCAAGGAGGATGGGTGTGACCGTAAGGGC